AGGGTAGAACAAATAAGTAAATGGATGGTGGGGGTTGGGAGCTGGGTTTCCTACTGTTGGAGAGGGAAATCATACATAAGAGAAAGGGGAAAGTTAGAATGAATTACGTGGTACTGGATTAGAATCAGGGACAGCAGTATGAGTTCAGGTTTAGCTTAATAAAGATACAGATGGATAGATATCTAAATAATTACGGATATGTGTGTATACATCAGTTAGTATACACACATATATTTCCTGGCTCTTTCTGTTGATTGCGCCAAGAAGTAGTCACACCCAGCAACATGTTGAGCACATGCTGCAACCAGATCTTGGTTTCTAATACCATTTTCCACTAAAAGGAACCAGGGTTCTTTGAGGAATGGTTGATTCTAGGGGTGGGGCACATCCCTACTTATCCCTATAAAATATGACCCTGGAGCATCTTGTCGTGCCAGAAAGTATTCAAAAATCCAAAGGATAGAGACATGTCGAAGGGAAATAGGAGGCAACCTGAAAGAGCTTCCAATGGCCAAAGCTGGAACACTACAAGCAATAAAATAGTAAACAACACAGTATTTGATTATAACTCAAAGTATTAAATAAATATCAATGAATCCATGCTGACATAAATAAATAACAAAATAAATAAATAGAGGGGGAAGAGACAAATCTCCTGTCCTGAAGAAATACAAATAATTTATGAAGATATTCTCCCCTGTGGGAAGCCGAGCTCAATTAACCTCCCAGCCCACACCCTCACTCCTCATCCTTGAGTATGGGCTGCACTTATGTGATTTGCTTCAAAGAGGAGCTACGAAAGGGGAATGTGGGTAAGTAAATTACAGTAGAGAAACATGGCAAGCACTACCTGGCCAGCTGAATAAGATTAAGATCACTAGTGGTAAGTCATGTTGATAACATATAACTTTGAAATGATGTGATGGGAATGGCACTTTACTCCTGTAGTCTTTGTCCCAAAAAACCAATACCTCAGCCTAATCATGAAAAAAACTTGAGAAAGATTCAAAGTGAGAGACATTCTATAAAATATATGACCAGTACTCCTGAAAACTGTGAAGGTCATCAAAAACAAGGAAAGTCTGAGAAAATGTCACAGACCAGAGTAGGCAAAGGAGACACAGTGACTAAATGTATATGGAATCCTGGATAGGATCTTGGAACATAAAAAGGACACTAGGGAAAAATTGGTAAAATCTGAATAAAGTGTGGAGTTTAGTTACTAGTTATGTAACAATGTTGCTTTCTCCCCCATGACATACGTGCCATAGTAAGGGAAGATATACACAATAAGGGAAACTGAGTGAGGGTTATACGGGAACTCTCTGTACTATCTTCACGACTTTTCTGTAAATCTAAAACTATTCTAAAATAAAAAGTTTATTTGAAAAAAAACAAAGGAAGTCCAAGTACAGATGGTGGAGTGAAACTTGAACACAGAAATCTATTTATTCCATCATATAACCACGTGAACAGAAGATAAAAATTATTTAAACAGTGAAGGAAGTAGGACATCACACAGGAATTTTTAAAAAGAGGGACAGGGTAGAGTGCAGAGACGAAGATTTTGACCAGGTTCATCTAACTTTTCCTTTTACACGTGAAATAGGTATTGAGAAAAGACAGTGAATTCACCAAATCCTAAGAATTTTTTACTAATACCACACAGTTTGGAAATAACACGAGAGATCAATGAGTTGAGTAGATAACCCAGAGAAAAGTAAAGGAAGCCCTGAGTAGAAGCCTGCATTACCCTTACGGAGGAAACACAATTCATCAGGGCTGGCCATTTTCTACGACACTGGTGGAACAAATAAAGCCTAAAAGCAATACTCCAAGAAACCAAAACACACAAGACAACCAAATAGAATGAACCCTCAGTGCAAGACACCAAACAAAATCCCCTAAGTAGAGGACAGAACCTCCAACAGAAGGGGCCTACATGCTCAGGGAGGTCTTCCCAACCTCCATCCCCACACCACTGCCCCTAGGCCTAGGGCTGTACAGGAAGGTGGCCAAAAAGCACCATGGGCAAGAAACTGCAGCTCACAGGTGAAGGCAAATAGGTTTCAAATAATAAGAAATGTTTATCAAGAAAATTCACTTGCATTGTGTCAAAACAAAGAAAAGTTCCTGACAATTTATGCATGAGCAAGACGAAGAGAAATGATGTCAACAAGAATACACCACAAACAGATGACAAAACATCATGCAAAAGGGGTAAAGATCATAATATAAAAGACAACATAAACCAAGGGAAAGAAGAAAACTTTCCTACCAGCATTTTTTTTCTCCCATCAATAGCATTCTACAGTAACATAATAAGAACATGAATTCAATGAAACCAAGTTCAACGAGAAGATGCCAAAACAAAAGAGTGAATGAAAAGGGAAATTGAAAACTTAAGGAAACAAGTTAAGAACCATGAATAAATAAATAAACAAACAAAATGAACTAAAAAGAACATGGACGGGAATAGTGACCACTGGAATTACTAATAGAAAGGAGAGGTTTGAGATTATCAAAGTGAATGCAGAGAAAAAGACAGGGATTAAAATAATTATTGAACAAATAGATAAGTACAAAAGTGCCCCAAAATAAGAATAACTGCAGTCTCTAAAATGGAAAACGTAAAAAGTAGAATAAAAAATTCACAAATCTAAAATTTCTTTTAAATAAAAGAAGAATCAAACAGTTCCTAGAAAGGTGTGCTGTGCCCAAAAATGTTATTACAGAATAATCAACACAAACACCCCGATTAAGTTCTTCTACTTCAAGAATAAAGGAAGAACCCTTCAGGTATCCAGGTGTGAAAAAAGCAAAAGACCTCTAAGCGAGGGAAAAAACACCTCTGACTGACCTTAGACTTCTTTTCAGCCAAACTCAACGTCCAAAGACAAAAGAGTAACATGTTTACAGTGTTTATAACAAAATACTTGATCCAAGAACTTTATTCATAACCAATTTGAATATAAGAATAACACACAGCCAGTCTGGAGCATGTTATATCAGAGAATAAAGTATTTCTGAGCCTTTCCTCAAAAAACTGTTTGAAAATGAAATTAGGTTACCCAGGGATTCCCCACAACTAAGAACTCAAGCATAAAAATGCCACGTACGATGGAAGTTCCAGTAATGATCATTCGATCCTTTTAAATATAAAGATTACAGGGGGACACTTCGACTACAGAATCTAACACAAATTTTACAAATATTTTAAAAGTAGAATTTATAGGGGCTGGCCCCGTGGCCGAGTGGTTAAGTTCGCGCGCTCCGCTGCAGGCGGCCCAGTGTTTCGTTGGTTCGAATCCTGGGCGCGGACATGACACTGCTCATCAAACCACGCTGAGGCAGCGTCCCACATGCCACAACTAGAAGGACCCACAACAAAGAATATACAACTATGTACCGGGGGGCTTTGGGGAGAAAAAGGAAAAAATAAAAAAAATCTTTAAAAAAAAAAAAAAAAGAATTTATAAAGAAAAAGAAAAAAGGAGGAGTTTAAAACTGTTTATTTCATAGCTGAGAGTCAAACGATATTCAATGTGTTTTACTAAAACTGCATTAAAAAACTTGATGATTCCAACACTTTAATGTTTTTCATGGTCTCTTTTCTTAAATTTGGAAGGGTCTTCAGGGAATTAACATATCTTATTGAGAGAAAGCATTGCATGAAGTTCAAGTTCTTCAGTTTCACTTCAATTGATTATTACTCTTAAGTTCAAGTAACACTTATATGGCACTTGCTACAAACCAGGTACTTTTCAATACTTATTAAATCCTTAAGCCCTCACAACAACTTATTAAAGCAGGCACTATTTACCCATTTTGTAGACAAGAAACTGGGTCCCAGAGACCCTGAGTAATTTGTTCATGGCTGTCCAGCCAGGAAGTGACAGAGCCAAGACTCAAAGGCAGATGCCTAGGTCTGGAATCTGTGCTCTTGACTACTACACTATAAGGCCTCTCCAATAAAACAGCATGCAGAGAATGATTTGGTTGTCATCAAATTAATTCTGTGCATGCATCCCTTCAAGCACCAACCACCCATCCTTCCAGATAAAGTGCTTAAGTATATAAGCAAAGAAAACACTTGGAATAATGTCTCCCTATTGACAAAGATAGTTATTTGGGAGAAGTCAGTGTGGAATATAGGTACATTTTTTTGCTTATTTTTATTCTTCAATGAGTTTAATGCTTTATAGTGAGTCTCTATAAGTCTTCAAAAAAAAAAAAAGAGAAGCCATTAACCTAAACACAAAACAAATCACATTATCTAATCACAAATTCAATACTGTCATGTAATTATTTGATGTTTTTTCTCTCTAATGAGCCATGTTGTAATTAGTACTTTACTGTGATGCCCCAAAGAGCCCAGCACAACGTGGGGCAGAATAAACACACATTAAGTACACTGATCACCATAAAACATTACAATTACTACATTCTATCTGTCTTACAAGTAGCATATTTCTAGGGCCTTTCCCCCTAAAGCAAACTCCTTAGACTAGCATGACTTGTATCATCTAGGAGCTTGAAAAAAGGGAGAAGTTCAGGTTCTACTCTATTGCAGGTGTCACCCAGGTTTAAGAGCCACAGCTAAAGAAGTAAAAAGTAGTGAAGAACAAGATGAGTATCTTAAGCAGAGAGCAGTGAAAGAACCCAGAGAGCTGAAATAAATCAAGAAAGTGATCACAAGACAGGGAAGAAAAGAGGAGTGACAAAGGAAGGTGGAGTAAGGACATCAACAACAGAACCATGAAGAAGTGAAGAAAGTAACTGTACCGAGAGTGTTGTGCATTTCTTTTCCTTTTTCAGTGACTGTTATCCCTGACATGAAAACTACTAGCATGCCAGATTTTTTAAAAAGACTGTGGAGATGCGGAATTACCAGTGTAACATACAAGAATCGGTAATATATTTGAATATGTAACTACCACATAATGGATGCACTTTATAAATGCTCCCAATATTATATGTAGTTTTAAATATGTACATACACTTTTAGAGACATTTCCAAATGCTTGGCTTGTGCAATTGCTTCATCTCTCTCCTCATTGGCTAATTGCAGTCGAGACATAATAGCTTCATCACGTTCCTTCTGTGCAAAATATACTTCTTCAACCAGAGCTACCAAAATACATAATCCATAATTAATTGGAGAAAATAAAGGAGAAATGCATACTTTTAGCAAAAATTATTTTATTTTATTCAACTGAATTATCAATCACCTGAGAAAACAGTATTTTAAAAAGCTACTGCAAACTTGAGATCACACTTCACACCCAGAAAAGCAAAAATTAAAATGCCAAATAATAACAAATATTGTGAGCTTGCAAAATAAAGGAAACTCTCACATGTACTGCAGATAGGCATGTACGTTTCTAAGACCATCCGAAGAGCAATCTGGCACTGTTTATTACAGTTGAAGACGTGCCTGGCCTATTAAACTGGCCAATCTCCTCCTTAGTGTGCACTTAGAGAAATTCCTGCACATGTGCACAAGGAAACATATATAAAAATGCTTACCGCAGCATTATATAATAGCAAAAATTTAGAAATAATCCAATTGTCCAGTAACAGAAGGAGGAATAAATAACTACACATTCAAAATGGAGTGCTACCCAGCATTTAAGATCAATTAACTATAGACAAAAGGACAAATCTCAAAAATAAAATTGTGGCAAAAATAGCAAGTTGCAAAGTAAAACTTCACTACATTTATGGATATACATAATAAGTAAAAATAATAAACTGAGCATGGAAATGATAAACACCAAATTCAGGATAGCAGTTACCTCAGTAGGATGGTGGAAGGGGAGGAAAGGAAAAGGGATGAGGGGAGTACACAGGCAGCACTGTGCTGGTGTGGGAGCACCATTTAGATAGATTATAATGCAAACAGCATCATCTAGGTTTGCACAGACTGTATAGGCAGCTTTGATGTTATCTGAAATTATCATTTCTCAAGCATGATTTCTACTTGAAATCCCATATAACTTTTAAAATATCACTGCAATGCTAGACGAAAAGGGGCTCAAATACCCAAATAACTGAACCAAATTTTATTTATACTGTCAAACCACAAAGTAAGCTTAGGAAAGACGTTTGAAATGTTCTTTTAGTTCATGAAACATTGGCTTTCTGCTAAGGTTTGTGACAGATTAATACACAGATAATCAGGATAGTTATTTTTGTATTACTTAAATTATAAGGGGTAGAAAAGAAACAAGCTCTGAAAATAAATCAACTATATCGTTCCATAATAAAGCATAAAATGGAAAATGCAATGGCAAAGCAAAGGCCAAAACCACTTTCAAGAAGCTGAGCCTGAGGGAAGAGAAATATATTCACTCATTCATTCGGCAAGCTCCTGTGGCAGCCATTCATCCACCTTTAAGGAATGGGAATACAGTGGTCTAAAGAGTCCCCGCCATCCTGGAGAATACACTCCATAACAGGTGAATAGAAAGTAGAGAGAAAAACAGGCCAAAAATTGGGTAGGCGGATAGACAGATCAACAGACAGACAGACTGACTGACAGACAAAGACAGTAGTAAAAGTTTTGAAGCAAAACAAGGCTGCGTGAGAGAAAAGAGTGATTTATCTGATGGGGAACAGAGCAGACTATTTTAGAAAGGATGGTCAGAAAATGCCTTTTTAAATAAGTGACATTTTAGCACAATCAACTCAAGGAAGAGAAGCCATATATATATTTGACAGCAGACTAAGCAGAAGAAAAAATAGTGCAAAGGTCCCAGAAGACTTAGGGGCGTCGCAGCAAGGGCAATGTGGCTAGGGTGCAGTGATAGAGACTAAGGACCTGGGAGCTCACCCTAGGCCTTGTAAGCCACAGCAAGGATTTCAGACGTCATCTGAGAGTAGCCATCAGAGGCTTCTGAGCAAGGAAATGACAGCATCACGTTGATATTTGAAAAGGAATTCTGGTTTCTGGGTGAGAAATAGTCCAGAGGCGGGCAAGCATGGAAGCAGAGGCCAGTTAGGAGACCAGAGAGGTAGTCTACCCAAGAATTCACATCAATAGCCTAAATAAATGACCCATTCCTTGGAACTTTAAGTTACTGAGAAATATACACACACACACACATATATATATATATATATACACACACACACACATCATCCTGGAGTTTGTATATTATACTAAAGGACTTCTGGGATAGGAACAACTTGATCAGATCTGTGTTTTAGAAGGAAACTCCCTCAGATTGGCATACAGAGTGTGTGTAGAAGAGGCAGGTGTCAGATGAAAGCTACAGGTTGGATTGTACATGCCCCTCAACCGAATATGAGATAGAATACTGTCATAATCCAGGGAAGAAACAACGAAATCCTGAACCAAGGCAAGGGCAACACAAATGAAAAAGAAAATGGATTAAATTCATAACCAAAAGGGTAAAATGAGAGAACCTAAGAGTTATGCATGTACTGAATTTTAAAGAGAAAGATAGGGCAAATGACCTACTAATCACTCCCTTAACCCATCCATAGTGTGACCTTCATAAAACTGAAGATAAACAGGTTACTCCTCTCCTCGCTGTTGCCACACAGATTCCAAAGGAAAAAAAGTCCTAACCTGGCATTCAAGGAAAACTAGAGTCTAGTTGTAGCCTACTTTCCCAGCATCATTTATCACTATATTCCCTCTAGGACAATGTTTCCCAAAATAGAGGTTGTGAAACATATTTTTTAATAGTTACGTATTTTAATGTACATTAGAAAAACCTAATTAGTATAGTTGTCCCCCAGTGTCCACGGGGGATTGTCCTAGATTTGGTATCTAGGATCCCCTTACATAAAATGGCATAGTATTTGCATATAACCTATGCCCATCCTCCCATATACTTTAAATCACCTCCAGATTACTTACAATACCTAATACAATGTAAATACCATGTAAATAGTTGTTATACTGGATTGTTTAGGGAATAATGACAGAAAAAAGGTCTGTACCTGTTCAGTACACACGCAACCATCGCAGGCCTTTCCATCAGGGGTTGGTTGAACCTGTGGTTATGGAGGGCTGACTGTACATTAGATCTAAAATTTCTCCTAGTGGCATTTAATTTAATGTCCAACTAAATTTTAAATTTCTCTAAGTTATCCAGATGTATTGTTGAGCCAGACGCCATAAAAAGATAATTTTTTATGATTTCATTTATTTAAAATTCAAAAACATAAAAAAGAATGACCTAGTTATTAAACTTAGCATAATGGTTACCTTTTGGAGGTAGTACTGGAAGGGAGGATGAGGGACACTTCTGGCATATTGGTGACATTTGGTTTCTGGATCTAGGTGCTGGTTACACAAGCGCCTTCACTTTCTGAGGTTCATGAAACTGCACAGTTATTTGTGTACTTCTTGTGTTTATATGTTAAAACTAAATAAAGAGGATTACATAAAAGTAATATGTTTATCTAGCTAAAAAGGTGAGTTGATGTAAAGAAAAACATTCAGTGAATAGTAGAAAAAAGTTAGCATAAATGTTAAAATTTTTGAAGGTATATGTTGGGATTAGATTTTAAGCAACAGAGACTTGTCCTTCTGGTCAAGATGGACTAACAGGATCTGGATTTATCCTCTCATTTTTAACAATTTTTTAAAAGGGACAAAATACATGGGATGGCAGCTTTCAAGACTATAAGGAAGGAAAGAACAGTGACCTGAGACAGGAAAACAAAGAGCTGAGCACGACGATGGGCTCAGCTTAAAATACTGAGAGTTTCCAGAACAGAGCACAGAAAGTGAAGATGCAGTAGGAGCCCGGCTGATCGCACAATTTGAGGAGACAGAGAGAAGAGGGAAGGGACACCAAAGCAGCTAGATTTCACAAGACAGACCATTAGACAAAAAACAGCTGCAAAGAGAGAAAACTTCAGAGACATGCCGAGGGTCTTCCTCGAGAAGTCAACTGAGTACTGCGCACAAGCAAGTGCATCAACTAAGTCTTGCAGGGGAAAGAACGATCTGAAAGGAGTAGAGGCAACACGTCCTGAGCTCCACAAAACCAGAAATAGTGCAAGTTTCCAGCAGCCAGACTGGAAAACCTAACGATTCATGAAGTACTGGATGGTGTACACAGAAGGGTCCTGCCTCAGCAGTGGGGATTGACTAACCCTAGACTAAACACTGCTCTGGCAACATCTACATATCTTTAAAGCATGATCCAAAAGGAGCAACCTGTGTCCAAGAAACATAAGTACATCTCAGAACAAAGCTCAAGAATATTTTATAAGAATACAAAAATAGCCAGCTCCCAAAATGGTAAAATTCATCATGGCATCCACTTACCAGGGATGCAAACAATCAAAGTTAGAACCCATAATAAGAGAAAAACTAACCAACTGAAACTGACCAACATTTCTGTCAACTAATATATAACCTTGTTTTATGTTTGTTTCTGCTTGAAGACACTTTATTTAATATATACTGTTGATTTGTTAACACTGAATTCACGGCCAAAAGCACTATAACTAATGGCTGAATAAAGCTTATCTAACGCACATCTTTTCTCCATAAGGCACATCACAGCCTTCTTGAGCTTAGGGAACACCAGACTGCATTTCAGCACTATACTTGGGGATGTTTTAAACAGCGAAATCACCGATAAAAGGCACAAAAATGCAATAAATGTGAATTAAATAAGCTGCAAAGAAGCTATTTGTTTAGAATATAAGAGCTGAAATAGGAAAGCAGAGTGGGACTTGAGATGATCATGTTGTTGTTCTTTTCTTGGTTTGTTATCTTGGTAATTTTGATTAATTTTTTAATGGTAAACCAACCTTACATTCCACAAAGGGAATCACAATCCCAAATGCAAAACCTAAAAATATAAATCTTCCAGAAGAAAACCTCTGTGACTTTAGGTAGGTAAAGATTTCTTAACTATAATACCAAAGCATAATTCACTTTAAAAAATTGATAAATTGGACTTCAACTTAATTCAATTAAAAATTTGCATTCTTCAAAAGACACTGATAAGAAAATGAAAAGACAAGCCACAGACTGGAAGGAAATAACTGCAAAGAATATATATGATAAAAAGACTTGCATCCAGACATAATTTTAAAAACTCTTAAAGTTCAATAATAAGGAAACAAAAACCAAA